AATTGCTTTTTAACAATCGCAGAAGCTTTTGGGTCTCGGACGAATCATTATTAATTTCCTTTGTAATTTGATCGAAGAATTGCTCAACATATTTGACAATATTATCGTTTGTAAATCCTGTTATTTCCAATTTCACGCCATATGATGATTTAATAGCATAAGGACGAGACGTTAGGATATTATGTTGTGCTTCACGTACATGTTTGAACACATCTTCTAGTTGTTCTGGAATATTTTGGGCAAATTCATCGTAACCATCTAATATCCATAGAACTTGGTGGTTTTTACACAGTTCCTTAAAATGTTGTATCTGTTCTGCAGATAAATCTTCACATGGAAAATATTCTTTCTCCAGAAGATTAATCGGTGAGTACTTTTTGCCTGGCGGATAACGACTACTTGTCAACTTTCTTAAACGGATCAAAATGAGCAGTTCATATTCGGACCAAACTTCACCTTTTGCCCATCGGTAGGTAACATATTGACAAAATGTTGACTTTCCAATACCAGCTCGTCCAAGTATGAGGACCTTTTTTATTTGATCTTTGCATTGTTGAAAAATATTCTTGACATCAATTGAAGTCTTATGGCCATAGATTTCTTCGTAAGTTCCGATAATTTCACCATGTTGCTTCTCGAGATTAAAGTCCTTTTGTTGTTCTCGTTCTTTCATCTTTTGATCTTGCTCCTTCAGCTTCTTCTCTTTTTCTTGCTGATCCTTGGCATCTACTATAGCCAAATTAATGTAACTCTGTTCAATTGGGAAAGTTTTTTCCTCGTTCACCATACGTTTGATTCTATTTTCTCGTAGATATTTTTGTCTAATCTCTTCAAACAACTTTACTGGTTGCGGCGGCGATTCTGTAGCAGGAGTCGAAGGTTGATTTTTTATTCTGTCAATAAGTTCTCTTGCTTTCGCAAGTATGTTTGCTTCAGAGGTATTAGAGAAGTCTAAGGCTATTATAGAGCCAGTAATCAAGTCTAACCATTTTGACGGTGATGGTTTCCATATTTTTCTGTTACTCACCATACATGGAATAATGCGTTTACGAAGTTTTTGCGCATGTTGCAATTCAAGTTCACAATTTGGGGAATTTTCATATTCTGGTGTCATAAAACAGCAGACAACGGACGCTCCATTTACTGCTTCGGCCATACTAGGTATCGAAAAACACAACTAAAGTTATAAAAAGAGCAATAGCTGTATTGTGATGTATACCTGTTGTACATATTATCGTTTATATCTTTCTCATCAAACCAGACAGGAATATTTTCAGTTTTTAGACTGTTGTAAACTGCTGTGACAATGTCCTTACTCTTGTGATTATATGACAACATAACGTGCTTTCCATCAGCGAACATCATTTACGAATCTATAATATATTCAAAAGATTCATATTTAGCATTGGTCCATATTGAAAATTTTATCTCAAATGTTATTTTGATAAGTATTTCGACAATCGCATGGAGAACTTTCAATTTACGTTCGATTAATTAATTCAAAAGTACGTCTTGTTCTATATGCAGTATCTTTCTGCATAAATTCTAATTCTCCATCATAAAAGTCATTGAGAAAGAAATTCGTAAAGAAAAGAATTTCTGGTGAACTCATGGATGTTGTAATGGAATAGCGCGGGTTTAGATATGACAACTATCAAACGCCGGTTTAGTTCATCGTTTATTCATATATATGACTTGGTTAAACTAATGAAAGACTACCATGATGCATCCACATTCCTCATCCTTTCGACTTTACCATTATTTAATGAATTTTTAACATATAGTACCAGCAGCCGGGTGTGTGTGTGCGTGCAGTGAAGCCCAACACCCACACCCTATTTCTATTCAACATTGAGATACTTACATTTGTCTGTTACTTTGTAAACGACCGTTTGTCCTTATATAAACAATTGGAAAGAATCAACTGTTTTCTTGTTGGTCGGATGAAACTCATTTTGAATTTCTTTTTGCTGCCAAGACGATCGACTGTTACGTGTAACTTCGTTTGCAAAATGCTTCGTAGCACGTGCTTTTTTATGAAATAAAACTATTTTTCTCTTTACGATTTGGTAGAACAGTTCATGTTTTAAGA